CATAGGTATCAACAGAGGGAATTCGTGGCTACTATGTTGCTGGGGCTAAGAAACATATCACTGCTTGCTAACAACTATATTGTTTAGTGTCAAGGAAGCAATGTTTTAAGAATTTACCCAGAGCTAGGACAGTTTGTACTTTAGGTATCAACATTTTAATGAATTAGTTGGCAGTCTGGGATTGATTTGTAATGCATAGTAAGTTTTCCCATTTAAACTCATTGACAAAAGTTTCCTTTAGCATTTTCATGCAGTCCCAACTGCATGAAACTGATTTGATTAACAGAAAACCAATGTTAAGCAAGAGATGCCTGCATTTTGAAATTCTCATCTGCCTTATGTATTCATCTGTTACCTATTTATCTGCCTTACCTAGTTTTTAATTGGTTCGCAGTTCAATGGAAAAATTGGATGGCTATTTGTTGCCCTCCTTCCCCATTATGTATTTGGCAAAAGTAACAGAATGTCACTTCCAAGATCAGGTTACAAAAGATTGACTCTGTCTTCCTCTTTCTAGCTTTTTTTGGTTCACTTAGAAGAAGCAAGCTGCCATGGTAATTAATTGCCCTATGGAGAGGCCTATGTGGCAAAGAACTAAAGGAGGCTTCCAGGCAACATGCTGCAAGGAACTGAAGCCCTAAGTTCAATAGCCTGTGAGAAACTTAATCCTTCCAACAACCATATAATCCACCATCCAAACCTTGAGTTGACTGTAGAACTGACCAACAGTTTAATTTCAGCCTTGTGAAAGACTCTTAGCTAGGGAACTCAGCTAAGCCATGCACACATTCCTAATCCACAGACATTATATACAATAATAAATGTTTGTTGTATTAAGCTGTTCAGTTCTGAGGCAAATTGTTTTGCAGCAACAGATAATATATATGCTGATGAAAAAAATTAAATTCAAAACTAAATTATTTCCCCAAAATCTCACATGATTTGGATCCTTAGGTACTTACTCCCAGGAAATAAACCAAGACTTTCTTTCTGAATACGCTCCAGGGTTTGTGATAGGATAGGAGATAGCATTCCCTCTGAATGTCAAAATGACAGAAAGAAGAGTGATGGTATGTACCTTGTGTGACAGGTACCAAGTATCAAAATCTCCATGATTTGGTAATCTTGAAGTTCATATAAAAGTTCATAGAGGGGAAGACTTGGAAATAAATGGTATTTACAAGAAGAAGAGATCAGCAGAGGAAAGAGGACAGATTTTGGCAGATAGACAAACCAAAGAAGAAACATTTATATGAGATTTTATGGCATGCATTCAGAATGAATCTGGAAATAGGATAAATGGGTTTGCAGGAAGAGATGACAGGCATTGAATCTGGGAAACTTGCTACTTTCACAGTTACTATAGTTTAGATCTGAAGTGTGTCCCCAAAGACTCAAGTGTTAAAGGCCTGGTCCCCAGCTTGATGCTATTGGGAGGTGGTGGAATTTGTTAAATGTGGTCCTGGTGGGAGGTTTTTCTGTCATTGGGACTGTGCCCTTAAAGGTGATTATGGGACCCCTGTCCCTTCCTGTCTCTCTGTATTTCACACGCATTCATGAGGTACACAGGCCTCTTTTGCTGCACACTCCCATCACAATGTACTGTGCTGCCACTGACCCAAAGCAATCAGTCATAGACTGAAACCTCCAAAACTGTAAGCTAAACCAAAGCTTTCCTCTGATTAAGTTAGGAAATCTCTAGTAACTGTTATAGTAATGGAAATCTGACAAACACAACAGTCTTAAAATAGAAGAAAAAAGGAAAGCCTTATACCTATAGATGTAGGGCTTAGAACTGTGATTAGAATGTACCGAAACCCTTACCTGGATATGGGCTTCCAGATTTATGTAGGTTCATTCCACACATCTGTACATTACAGTTCTATGACAGGGATTTGGAAACTGATATGTAAAATTAGCCCACAAAAAGCCAACTTTAAGAAAATCATGGAGAAATTACTTATTTCTTTAAATTACAGATTTATCAGACCTCAAAAAGGAATTCCCAATGTAATAGTCTATAGTAACTAGTTTGGTGGAGTCAGTGATAATTTCCTGACCCATGATACAGACACTAGTATCTTAAAGCAAAAAAAAAAAAAAATGATGGACTGGAGCCACAAGTCTGGATTCTAGTTCAGCATGACTTAACCTCTGCATACTTTACTTGCTTCAACTGACCAATGTAGATAATAGTAGCTGCCGGCCCTATGTCATGAAGCTTCTATGAGGGATGAAGTTCAAATAGTATAAAAGGAGTATACAAATATGTGGTTAAACATAAAAAAAAGGTTCCACCAAGTATTCTATTATAGCTATGAAAAGGCCTTCTCTTATTCTGTAATGGCTTCCTTCACAAAGAACAAAAAGGTTCAAAGGCTAAATTACATAAAATTGCATCACATTGTCACAGCACATGTGATAAATAATGGAGCTGAAGATGATTCACAAAGATGATTAGATCAAGGCCATGCAAAGAAAAGCATTTAATTCTTATAATCCTGGCTAGTAAAGACAGGCAAGGAAGTAAGTCTTTCAAGGTTTATACTATGGTGAAAGTACTATAATCCCAATGATGAAGGCAGAGCAAAATGATGGTATGAGTATGGAGTATGGTGTGTAAGTTAAGGTAATACTATCTACTGAAACAGATAACCACCCCCCACAATTCAGAGGCTTAACATAATAGAAGTTTGTTGTTCCTTCAAAATACCGGATTGGCAGGTAGCTCTTCCTCACTTCCAAGCAGCAATTTGAGACCCAGGCTCTCTAAATGGTCCCATCATCACCATGGGCACAGTGGGTACTATTGAATCCTCTGATTCTGACAGGTGCACAGGAAACAAGGAAAAGAAGGAACACCTGCTTGGAGATGATCCACATCATTCCACTCACATTCTTATGGTAAGAACTTATTATATATCTGTCTAGCTACATGGGAAAGATAAAATGCAGTTCCTGGTTTTCCAGAAACAAATCAACACTATGAAAGGGAGCCAAAGTCTTTAGAGGACAGAGATCCAATTCTGCCTTACCTAGCAACAGAGAGAACATAGATCTCTACCTTTTAGCATCCTTTCCCTATGCTAGCATTTCTAGGCAATACACACAAAGGTATTCAATAACTAGAAACCTTACCAATAAAATAGACAACATTGTTTGGAAAACCACTGACATTTGTCTTTAAATCATGTGAAATAGTCCAGCATGCTTCTAAAAATCAGAGCTTAGAAGTTAGTGGGAAGACATTAAGCCAAATTAGTATCTAATCACTTCTCCAGCCCAAACAGTGAGGGACCTTTCATCATTTATTTAATCCTTCAAACTTTGGTGCCTTCATCAGCAGCATAAGCTCAACAATACAATTCCTGTGATGACATGGGAAGTGCTTGACTCATAAAAGGTACTTGTAAAAGAATATCCTCATAGCAACTAATGAAGTTGGGCACATACATCTATGGCTCAGCAACTCTATTCCCATACGTACACCCAACACACACACACACACACACACACACACACACACACACACACATTTTGCCAAAAGTACTAGAATGTTCATAGCAACACTGTTCACAATGGCAAAAAGGCAGCATCTACACCCATGTCTACCAAGAATAGAATGGATAAGTAGATTACTCTATATCTTACACATAGTACTAACAACAATGAAAAGGAACACACTACAGCTAGAAGCACCAACATGGATGAATCTCACAAGCCCATGCTGAGCAAAAGATACAACAGAATACTTACTGTATGGTTCCATTTCTATATAAAGTTCCAAACAGATAAAATTAATTTGTGCTATTGGAAATCAGAATGATTATTACTCTTGGAAGGAGTCATACTGAATGGAAATAGACATGAGAATGGCTTGTGGCAGCAGGAAATGTTCTCTTTGTGCATGGGGGTACTGATTACATGGTATATTCAGCTTGTGAAAATTCTTAAGCTATAAATGTACATCAATAAAAAGTTATTTTAAAATAGTGTCCTTCCCTGAGAGATCCCACCCCCCGTGACAAAGTGCCTAAATATTGCTCACATGTGCTACCAGCCTTTCAAAGGGGAAAACAAAATAGAAAGGGAGAAATTTGAAAATAAGCCATAAAGAGGGAAGAGATGATAAGAACACAGAATAAGGCTGTAGGGTACTAAAAGCCAGAGATATCTACCACTTTTCTAAATTGTGCCTCTGTTATATGCCCCAAATCTCTAACAATTACAAAAGGGTCCAAGATACTTTTTCACAGTGACCCTGGAATTATTTGGGATAACTTTTAATGCTACTAAAAATGCAACATACTACATGTCTTCCATGTTACAATGTACCTTCCTGTTCCTTCCTGTTACAATGCCATTCTGACATTTCAGTCATTTTGATTTTTTCTTTCTTTCAACATTTTGTCATGCTAGGGGAGCTAAGGTGTATGTATGTAAGGTGTGTGTGTGTGTGTGTGCGTGCGTGTGTGTGTGTGTGTGTGTGTGTGTGTGTGTTTGTGTGTGTGGTGTGAGTATATGTTGGAGGGGTTGAGTCTTATTAACTCCAATTCTCATAATTTATATCATTTACCTGATCATCAATGAGGCCCCAACACTATAGTCATGATAAATTCATTCTCTACTAATATTACATCCAGATAGGCAGCTTCCACAGAAGCAACTGCATAGTAACTTGACCCTATATCCAATGTAGTTCTACATATTGAAGTAGGCACCCACAAATATATGTCAGGTATAGTTATCACATAATTGCAAAGGGTCATTATGAATACAACACCAAAAGTCATTGATCAGAATATTTGGTTTCATTTGATAAGTGATTTTATATGTTAACATCAATAGGAACCTTAAGAGATGATCTTCCCATGTAATCTAGGAAGAAAAATAAGGCCAAGAGAGTTGAATAAAGATAATATAAAAATAGTTGTGATAGAAACAAGACAAAAATTCAGATGTTTTGCTGTTTCTCCAGCATCCTTTTTACTACCTCATACCTTTAAAGGGCTTCAATTTCTCTTCACATGTAGTCAGCATGATATGAACATGATTCTAGCATTCTCCACCTCCTGTTTCAATCATAAGCCTCCAGGTCTGATGTCTACATAAATATTTTGGCTTTTGCCTAGAAAATGTATTGAGATAATATTGTTAAGCAATTTCTGAGGGAAGCTATGTCACTTAATTTTTCTATTTCCTCAACTGACAAATTTCCTTTTTATTTTGAAATACTTCAAACTTAAAAGATACAAGAATAGTACAAATAACTCCCATCAGTTTTACCCAGACTGATGTTTTTTTAAAAATTATTTTTGTTGTTGTAGATGGACAGAATGCTTTTATTTTGTTTATTTTTATATGTTGCTGAGGATCGAACCCAGTCCCTCATGTATGCTAGGCAAGCACTCGACCACTGAGCTACAGCCCCAGCCCCAGACTGATAAATTTTTAACATTTTATCAGTTGCTTTATAATGCTTTCTTCATCCGTAATTTTCTCTCTCATGTGTGCGTGCGCACAGACATACACACACACATTAATTTTTATCAACTATTTGAGAGTAGGTTGTATAAGTGTTTCCTAAGGACAGGGTATTTTCTCATACAACCACAATACAGTGATAAAATAAAAAAATTGATATTTTGTACAATATATTTTATCTGTTTGATGATTCACATTCTAATTTTGTCGACTATTCCAATAATGTCCTTTGGAGAACTTCTCTAACCCAATCCAAGATTTGATCCAGTATAATGTTTTTCCATTTGATTTTCATGCTTCTCTACTCTTTTCCAACATGAAATAGCTCTTTAGTCTTTGCTTTCATGACATTTTTGAAAAACACAAGCCATTTTTGTTAGGATGCTCTTTATCAATTAGCTTTTGCTATATAATAAACCACTACTAAAGTTAGTGACTTAAAATAAAATTTATTACACTCAAAATTTCTCATTTCTTACTATTCAGTAAGTCATCTAGATAGTTATGTTGGTTTGGGCCAGACTGGCTAGGACTATATGCTCTAGAATGACCTTGCTCACATATCTAGCAGTTGGTTGAATATCAACTAACATGCTAAAAAGATAACTTACATGTATGTCTCATCATCCAGCAGGTTCACTCAGACTCATTCACATAGTGATAATGACAGAGTTCCCAAACTGAACAAGAGAGTAAGCCCCAGTGCTCCAAGTCTTTGCTTGCATCATGTTTTTAATGTCCTATCAGCCAAAGGAATTCATAACAACAATCCAGAGTCAGTGTAGAAGAGCACTTCCATGAACCATAGATAGAAGGGGTAAAATAATCTGACACCATTTTTATAGTCTATGGTAGTATAAAGCCAGGGATAAAAATATTTTCTCAAGAGACAAAGAATATGCTATTAGCAGAAGAAGTTAGGAGAAAAGACAAAATCTTTCCCAAAAGTGAGGTATGAACACTTAAACTTATAGCCTTAAAAAATCTGAAATCAAGATATATCATACCAGTAATGGGAAAAAAGTCTTATCACAAAAATGATTAGTAAAGGGTTTGTCACCCTGCTACTTTTTATTGGTAAAAAGGGGTCAAATTTAAGAGCACATAAACGAACTCTAAAGTTCACTCTGTGCTACAATCCAATTAACACAAACAACTGAATGACAGAGAATTGTGTGCAGAGTAATAGGTCCCTATTATAAGAAAAAAAAGTCAAGAAAAGTGATGATAAAGGGAAATTGACTATCTGTCTCCCTGTTGGGGCAATCATAGGAAATTCTGAAACCATAGTAATGAAAGAAAGCCTATACTCTCTTTAAACACAGCAGCAAAAAGCTCCTTCCTTACTGCTGAGTGCTGCAATGCAGAAATGAAGACCCCAGAATCCAAATTACCATTTTATCTAGAAAATATGGAACTCTGGACTTAAATGTGAAATTGCCAGATATCTAAATGTTGGTTTAAATATTTTTAAGAGGACATTCAGAAGTTGAATGGGGCATAAGAGGCAGGACTTTGAAAATTTAAAAAGAAAATCAAACCACAAGATCAGAAAGAACTGACAATTTTGAATAAATGAAATGTTCATCCAGTTCTCTTAGGGACATCATACTTATTCTAGCCTGTGACTATCTAAAATATACCTTCATTTATGCCCAATAACTATCAAATTTAGTATTGTACATAACATACATGATTGAACTTTGCACTATAAGCATAAATAAACAAGAAATAATGGAAAACTAATAAAGTATAAGAACATTATGCCTTGCATACCTAAGCATGTACTCTACCACCGAGTTATACACCTAACCCAACATAACACAATTTCTAAAGTCAAAAGAAACAGGCAGTCTCAAAGCAAAGCAAATTGCAGATTTGGAGGTAGGTTTGTCTTAGGGACACGTTTGTGACAATACTCACTGTGTTTCAGGGAGGGATCAGTAATGGATTGGACAGCTTTAGATACTGGTTAGGGATCTGACTTTTACCATGGCTATAGAATGGGCTGTCTTTCCCTAGAAGTATAGAGACTTTATATGAATCACCTGGACTGTGTAGAAGTAATTGCAGTCACTGAAAAAGTTACCGTGTCCTGGCTTCACATGGACAGTCACTATTTCACAATGAGCTATGAGTTTACTTATACCTGGAGGCAGGGCGTGGCTCCTCTATGACATCATGGCTGCCCAAGTGTAAAGTCTTCTCATCTCAACTTGAAGAAAAGCTCTGTCAATGTAGACGGGTGGACCTTGTTCCCCCTGAAAACAATGCTCCATCCCTTGTGAATTACACCTATGTAAGTCCCCAAAATGGTATGTCATCAAAACCAGAGTTTGCACAGTAGCCCTAGTACTAGGGTGAAAGAGGAGAACAAGGGAAGGCAAGGAATACTGAAAAAGAACCAGCAACTAAAGAAACAAAACAACCAAATGAAAGGGGAGAACAAGAGAAGGCGAGGTATACTGAAAAAGAACAAAAGACGCAGAAAAAAAAGATACCAAGGTAAGAGGAGTCTTATGTCTTATTACAACTATGTTTGGAACCAGAGAATAAATTAAAATTCAAGCAGCTAGGTAAATCCATTTTTTGATACCATCCCATTTATTGATTCTTGATTTTATTTATTGTGCTTTAGAAGTCTTGTTGAGGAAGTCAGTTCCTAAGCCAACTTGATAGATAGTTGGGCCTACTTTTTCTTCTAGTAGGTGTAGGGTCAGTCTCTGGTCTAATGCCTAGGTCCTTGATCTACTTTGAGTTGAGTTTTGTGAAGGCTGAAAGATAGGGGGTTCAAGCTTTTTCACAGCAAAGGAAACAAATGTGAATGTGAAGAGATATCATATAGAATGGGAGAAAATCTTTTGCCATCCACACCACAGATAGAGCATTAGTCTCTAGGACATATAAAGAACTCAAAAAACTTAACACCAAAAAAAAATGGTGATTATCAAGAATATAAGTAACAGTAAATGTTGGTGAGGGTGTGGGGAAAAGGGTATGCTCATACATTTTTGGTGGGACTGCAAATTGATATGCAACTGCTCTGGAAGGCAGTACAGGGATTCCTCAGAAAAATGAGAATGGATCTACCATTTCATCCAGTTATCTCACTCCTTGGCATATACTCAAAGGACTTAAAATCTGCATATTACAGCCACATCAATGTTTATAGCAGCTCAATTCACAGTAGTTAAGCTATGGAATGAACCTAAGTGCCCTTCAAGAGATGAATGGATAAAGAAAATGTGGTATATATACACAATGGAGTATTAGCCATAAAGAAGAATGACTTCACACACTCCCACACAATGGAATATTACTCAGCCGTAAAAATTAGATTATGGTATTTGCTGGTAAATGGATAAAGCTAGAGACGATCATGCTAAGTGATATAAGCCAATCCCCAAAACCAAAGGCAAATCTTCTCCCTGATGTATGGATACTAACACAAAATAAGGACGGGGAGGAGGGAAGAATAAGAGTTCACTGGATTAGACAAAGGGGAATGAAGGGAAGGGAGGGGAGGTGGGAATAGGAAAGACAGTAGAATGAAGTAGACATCACTTTCCTGTGTTCATATATGAATACATGACCAGTGAAATTCCACATCATGTACAACTACAAAAATGGGATCTTAATTAGAATAAGTTAGACTCCATGTGCGTATGTCAAAATACACTCTTCTGTCATTTGTATCTAAAGAGAATTAAAAAACAGGGTTAGGTTAAAGTATTATACATAAGAACTTTAAAAAAGATAAATCCATTTTTACATACTTCTATGAAAGAGTTCCTGACTTCTATGACTGTTTTCCCCATTAATAGCACATGCCTAAATAAAATAGAATACTTTAAATACTTTAAATAAGATAGAACAAAAATTTCTCTAGAAATCTGAAGCCCAAGTTAGATCGTGTATGAAATCCCCCTCTCCTGACTTCTTATGTAAAAAGAGTCAGCAACCTTGAGAATTGAAAAGTCTCCAAAAAAGGCTCATAGGGAGTAGTGAGATAAGAAGTTTGCTGGATGTCCAATACCAAATGACAATATCTTGTATTTTAATCAGTCTCACATTTATTTGACCCTTGAATTGGGAACTTTATCTCCTCTTCCCACAAAAGTATTCATACAATGTAAAGAATAGCTCAAACACTTTCTGACAAGAGAGTGTATTGTTTCTCATAACTGTTCATTGACCCATCAACTTCAGATATTCATTTGAGCATTTACTAAAGGCATAGGCTTCAGAAGTAAATAAAACCTATCCTTGTGCTAAAAACACCACAATCTCAAAAGGAAAAAATAAAATAAATTTACATACCAAGTGAGTAGAGAAAGGATCTATTCTGAGGGAAAGAAGCATCTGAAAAAGTAACCCTTCCCTGTAGGTTTTGAGATTAAGTCATCTTAATCTAAGTGAGGTGATATTTGAATTGTATCAGGAAGGGAAAAGTTTTGTCAAGTAAAGAAAACTGCATACCTAGAGACTCATTAGATATTCACTTTCGGTAAAACACAAGATGAAGATTCATGGCAGAGAATGAAAATTAAAAAGTAAGTCTGGCCTTGTAGTTGGCAGTATATTTTTAGGTATGACACAAAAATCACAGACAACAAAAGAAAAATGGATAAATTGAAATTCATAGAAATTTTAAAATTTTGTATGCCAAAGAACACTACCAAGAAAGTAAAAACACAACTTATAATAAAGGAGAATGGAGAAAATATTGGGAAATCAGTTATCCAATAAAGGTCTCATATACAGAATACATAAAGAACTTTTATGCAGATGGGGTAGAGAGGGAAGATGAGAGGGAAGGGGGGGATAGTAGGGGATAGGAAAGGTAGCAGAATACAACAGTCATTAATATGGTATTATGTAAAAATGTGGATGTGTAACCGATGTGATTCTGCAACTTGTATTTGGGGTAAATAATGGGAGTTCATAACCCACTTGAATCAAATGTATGGAAGATTATATGTCTTGAGCTTTGTAATGTTTTGAACAACCAATAAAAAAAGACAAAAAAAACTTTTATAATGCAACTACAAAAAAAAAACTTAAACAATGGGCAAAAGACTTGAATAGACATTTCTCCAAAAGAGCTATACAAATGGGCAATAAGCATGTGAATAAGTACTATTCACAGTCACCAAAATGTGGAAACAACCCAAATATTCATTTACTCATACATGGAGAAACAAAATGTCTGGCATATATACATAATGGAATATTATTAAATAGTCATATAGGGGGAATGAAGTACCAATACCTGCTACAAACTGGATGAACTTAAAATAGTATAGTAAGTGAAAGAAACCAGACACTAAAGGTCACAGATAATAATATTCCACATATATGAAATATCTAAAATAAGTCCACAGAAACAGAAAATATATTTTTTCTATACATAGATTTTTTTTTCTTTTCCTCTCTAAGGAGAGGGAAATGGAAAGTGCTGTTTAATGAATATGGGATTTACAATTGGGAAAATGAAAATGGTTTGAAACTAGGTAGTGGTAATTGCACAATACTGTGAAATACTAAATGTCACTGATTTTTACATCTTGAAATGGCTGGTCTTATGTGAATCTCACATCAATAAAATTTCAGATTAACACCAAAATAACAGACCAAAAATGTACATCTGACCCTGAGGAAAGATGAGATTTTATCCTTTATAAATAGTCTTAAAAGGTTTTTAAGATTACCATGGCAGTTTAGTATTTGATGAAGAGTCTGGACATTTTTTAAATAAACTGGAGAAGGGAGAATAGTGACAGGGAGTTCAGTTACAAATTATTACAGAGATAGCTGGGGTTTGAATTAAGACAGGCAGAAGAGGTGGAGAGAAGAGGCTGGCATGAAATAGATTTTTGAATATATGATGAAAAGCAGTTCAGGATTGGGTATAGGGATATGAAATTACAAGGGTCTGAGAATTTTTAGTGCTGGCAGAAATAGATGGTAGTGCTATCCAAACTGAGTATCACACCAGTAACAGGCTGGAAGGGAGTCCTAACTCTTGAACTAATCATAGGAGGATGTGTTCTCAATAGATTCTCAACATAATTCTGACATCCAGGCAAAGATCAAGCATATAAAATGCTAACAAATACTTAGCTTATTTCACTGGTTCCCAGGAAAGAGACCCATGAGTTTTATCACTTTTCAGAATAGTCATCATAAGTTTCATAGAATGGGCAGCAATAGCCTCAGAAGCTGAGAGTGAGCCCTGAATTGTATCTGTAAGTGGAAAGAAAGTGACAAAAAGACAATAGGGAGAATGACAAGGATGCCTGTTGGGGTTTGTCTCTTGGTCTGTTTGTGCTGCTGTAAGAAAATACTACATGCTAGGTAATTTATTTTAAAACAGGAATTTATTTTCTCACACTTCTGGAGTTTGATCAAGGTGTTGGCAAGCTTTGGTGTCTAATGAGGACCTATTCCCTGCTTCTAAAATAGCACCTTACTGCTGCATCCTCACATGGTAGAAGGTGTAAGGGCAAAAGGGATGAATATTGTGCTTTCACATGGCAGAAGAGATGAAAGGGAATGAATCACCTCAATCTCTTTTATAAAGACCTTAATCCCATCAAAAGGGTTCTGCTTAATGCTATCCCATTGGTGACTGCATATTTCATTGGTGACTATATTTAAATATGGGATCCTTGGGGGACACTATCAAACTATAGCAGGATCATTTGGTTAGGGAAATTCAAGAGATGCAGAAGGCCTAAGATGTAGGGGTTAGAAAGTCAGCATTAAATGTGGAAAGGAAATATTGAACATGAGAGGGTTTCTCAGATGGAATAGTTGGGATAAGTGGATGGATATGGATAAGTAAGATTATGACAGGCTGGTAAAAATGAGTAGAGAATGGAGGATGTAAGATGGATTCATGGAGAAAAACAAGAAATAGGTTCCAGGCTGAATCCTTGCTGGAGAGAGCAAGCATCTACAATTGACCTTCCATATCCATGGGTTCCATATCTGCAGATTCCACCAACTACAGATCAAAACTCTTTGAAAAAAATACATCTTCTCTGAGCATATACAGGCCTTTTCTCTCTTCATTATTCCCTAAACAATATAGCATAACAAATATTTACATAGCATTTACATTGTATTAAGTATTAGGTATTATATTATAAGTAATCTAGACATGACTTAAAATATATGGGAGGATGTGCAAAGCTTCTATATAAACACTAAGCCATTTTATACAAGGGATTTGACAATATGTGGATTATGGTATCCAAAGGGAGTCCTAAAACCACTGCACTGTGGATCACAAAGTGTACCATATATACAGAGAGATTTCTATAAAGAGAGTAAGGAAGGGGCTACTATGAAGGTATGCATGGTGTAGACATGGTAGTTAAGCCTGGGTTGGGATGAATAAAGAGAACACAATGAAACAGCTTGGAAGCAGGTGTCAGTGGAGAAAGGCCTAGCCAAAACATGGGGGAGAGGGCCATTGTTGATGGAACCATCTTGGTGTATGGGGGAGAGCGTGTTAAACTCACATCTAATCAAGGATGTCCTCTGCTCAAGCATGAGTCTCTATTCTCATTTCTAAAGCATCGAGATCAGGTTTCTCTCCATAGCTAACCATATTACTATCATTTAAGGCCCCCATTCAGGCAGTAGCCCTCATGATTTCCCAATTTTCTTTACAGTGGTATTTGCAGAGGAAACAACTATTATGGGGACAAATGACAGATAACAAAAACAAACCAAGAAATACTTCAGCCTTCACAAGCCTTTTGCAAAAATGAGACCTAAGTCCTTTGACTGATCCTAAGAGACAACAACTGAATGCAAGATCCAGAAAAAAACATCAACACCAGTGTCAATAAACCTTTAAAAGATAAAATCTTCTTTGTATTTTTTTAAAAGATCAAATCTTTAACTCCTTTAATAGTAATCAACTTGTTTCCCTGTGACAGACTTCCTTCCTTTCAACTCATTTTCCAAAATGTAACTTGGAAGGTATATTTTAAATGGGTTTTCATCTTTCATTTCACTTACTTTAACCCTTCACTGGTTCTTCAGGATAAAGTGTAAATGCTGGTATGGCTTACAGAGAAATGAGTAGTCAGAATTGTACTAAACTTTCTGACTTTTTGTTATGGTTTAGATATTAGGTGCTCCTAAAAGTTCATGTATGAAAAATGCAAATTTAAGGTGACATGATTGTGTTATTAGAATCTTAACATAATCAGTGCATTAATCCCCTGATAGGTATTAACTGGGTAGTAACTATAGGTAGATAGGGTATGGCTGGAGGAGCTGGGTTGATGGGGGTGTACCTTTGGGGTATATATTTTGTCCTTGTTGAGTAGTGCTCTCTTTTCTCTTTTCTCTTCTCTTTTCTATTTCCATCCTTCCTCCCTCTCTGCCTCTCCCCCCACCTTCCCCTTCTCTGCTTCCTGGTGCCATGACCGCAGCTGCTTTCCTCCACCACATGCTTCTGTCATGTTAGGCCCCTAGTAATGGAGTCAGCCATCTATGGACTGAGACCTCTGAAACTATGAGCCCCCAAATAAACTTTTCCCCAAAATCTTTTGGTCATATCAGTAAAAAAATCTGCCTAAAACACTTCTATTGAGCCCACAATCTCCTCTTAACATGTGTACTTCAGAGAGTGAACTAAATTAAGCTTAGAAAGGTAGACCTGTATTAGATTGTTTAGTTCTCAATAACCTATGTTAGATTACCCCTTCTATGATTTCGGAAATCAAATGCCTTTATCCTATAGCCTAATTTTATTTCTGAGCATCTACTCAACATATGTTGCTATTTTACAAAATTCTGTATAAGGATGTTCATGACAAACAACCCAGACCATCCACCACAACATGAATAAAGTTGGTATCTTCTTAAAATGGAATATTATATACAGCCATGAGACAAAAGCAACTACAACTGCATGCAACAAGATGAATAAATCTCACAAAGATGACATGAGGGGAAAAGCCATATACAGAAGAACACATAGTATATGAATCCAAGAATAAGAAGAACAAAGATAACTAAAACTAAACTATGGTGCTACAAATCAGGACAGGTTTTATCCTTGCAGAGATAGTAGGTATGTTACTATGGAATGTGACACAAGGGGGCTACTGAGAGGCAGCTAATATTGTTTCTTGATCTGAGTATATTTGCATGGATGTCTACTTTGTGAAAATTTGTCAAGCTGCACACTTATGTCACTACAATTGTTTACAGTTTTTAAAAATTCTCTGCATTCGTACTCCATAATCAATTTTGCTTAGTGAATTCTTGTTCTTCAAATTTTCAACACTATTTCCTCCAACAGCCCTTTCCTGAATTCTTAGACCATTTAGCACATCATGTTGTGTGATCAAAGTCTCCTATTGTTCTCCTATCTTAACAACTCTCTGTATTTAATTGCAACTGTGTGTTGAATCAAGTTTAATGAACTGATTTTGTGTACCTTTCCAGGCATATTATAAAAGCATATAAATTTTATAATGTGAAAGGAGAAAGACTTAATAATCCTCTCCCTGGATAGAATTCAGCCCCAATATTTTGCAGTGAAAAAGATATAAGGCTGAACTAGTTATCTATTGCTGTGTAACAAATTACCACAAATTTAGCAGCTTAAAACAATAATCATTTATTATCTCAGCTTCTCTTCATCACAAGTCCCAGCAGGCACAGATCAGATGGATCCTTTGTTTCAAGGTCTCTCAAGGCAGGAATTAAGGTCTCACTTAGACTACATTTCTTTCTAGAGTCTCAGAATTCTCTCTTAAGCTGGCACAGTTGTGGCTATTGGTCAAAGTTGGTTCCTTGTCATCATCTGGCTGAAATACCTGCTTTCCTGCTGGCTGTCGACTGAGGGCCATCCTGTGTTCTTAGGGTCTACCCACATGCCTTATTGCAGGCCTTTGCATAGGCCTCTTGACATGACAGCTTTTTCAAGACCATCAAGGAAGAGCCTCTTGCCCTATTCAGCTAAGAGAGACTCTTACATAATGTAAAAGATTATGAAAATAACATCTTATCTTTTTTTTCTATATAACATAGCCAAGTCAAATCCCAGGTTATGCCTACACAGGTATTATATAATGGTATAACTCATCTGCAGTTATCTTAGAATTCTGCCTACCACAAAAGGGTAATATTTGGAGATAGAGAAAAAAAAATTCCAAAAAAGCTTAAGTCCCATATCACAGGTGTGGGAGCCAGCCTCCAAAATGGTTCACAATGATTTTATACCTTTGTGTAATCTCCTCACTCTCAATATAAGGGTTGTTCTGTGTGACCAATTATGTTAGTCACCTTTGCATTGCTGTCATCAAAATACTCAAGAACAACTTAGAGGAGGAAAAGTTCATTTTCGGCTCACAGTTTCCAGTTTCAATCTATGATCAACTGGTTCCATTCCTCTGGGCTTGAGGTGAGGCAGAACATCATGGTAGAGGGGTATGGTAAAGGAAACCTCAGCTCATGGCAGCTGAGAAGGAGAGAATATAAAAGAGCAAGGAGCCAGGGACAGATATAGCCCAGGGCATGTCCCCAGTGATTTGCTTCCTCCAGCCATGCCCCACCTGCCTACAGTCACCACCCAAATGTACATTCAAATTATTAATCCATCAAATAGACTAATCCACTGAAGAGGTCACAGCTCTCATGATCTAATCATTTCACCTCTGAACACGCCTGCATTGCCTAATACATGCTCTTTTGGGTGAACATTAAAGATCCAGATTATAACACCCAAAGAATGTAGCAGCAATTGTGACAAACTACTTCTGATGCTAGATCCTAAGAAACTACACAGTTTCCACCCACCTGTCACTAATTCTCAGTGAGGATGTTCAAATAACCCTTTGGAGAGGCCAATGTGGCACTAAGATCTATAGCCAATAAGGTTGCCAGATTAAAAGAATTCTAGCCCAAACTGAATTTCAGGGAAAAAAATGAAAGATAGTTTAGAACAAGTATGTCTCAAATATTGAATGGGAAATATTTATGTTATAAAATTATTCATTATCTGAAATTCAAATATAACTGGGCATCTGGAGTCTTGTTTTTGCATGGTTTTCAGAAATCCATTAACCCTACCTGCCAAAAGCCACAAGAGTGACCCAAATTTTCCAGCTCCGTTTCAGTCAAATCATCTGACTACAGGTGCAGCTGACATCTTAACTGCAACTTAATGAGAAACCCTAAACCACAACCTTCTGAAAAAACTGCTCCCAAATACCTACCCACCCCCCAAAACTGAGATAATATTTTTTTATTATTTAAAACTTCTAAGTTTGGGCTATGGTTGTAGCTCAGGGGTAGTGTCCTTGCCTAGCATGTCTGAGGACTGGGTTTGATCCTCAGCACCACATTAAATAAATAAATGAATAAAATAAAAGTATTTTAAAAACTGATAAGTTGGGCTGGAGATGTGGCTAAAGCGGTAGTGACCAATGTGATTCTACAACCTGTATACTCAGAAAAATGAGAAATTATATCCCATCTGATTCAAATGTATGATATGTCAAGATCACTGTACTGTCAATGTGTAACTAAGTAAAACAAATTTTTAAAAAGAATATTAAAATAAAATATAAATGCATTTTTTAAAAAAGTACTGAATCTATAGAAGTAAAGGCTTTAGTGTACAAGTGACATATAATTTTTAAAAAAGAACTAATATAATAGGTAACTGCCCATTATTTTGGTTGGTCAGCCTGTTTCCTTTATGAAATGCAATCATCAAGAATGATCTCATCATTTAAGAGGCAAATCCCCTTCTCTAGTTGAAGATGAAGAAGATAACTCATCATTTACTAATGAAATGCCTTACTATCTATTAGATTGAATTAAATATGTCAAACAGTACTTCTTATTATAGAAGTCAGAAGGCATTTTTTTGTTGCTCTTACTTACCAAAGTTGGCAAGAGCAGCTTCAACATAACAAAGCCAGACAGCTTGGTTCAGCCTGAAAATGCTCATGACAGACAAGTGATATCTATCATAAATAGAAGGTCCTGCAGATCCTTAAGCAAAAACAGAAGTGGCAAATGCACATTACAAACCTGACAGATTGGGCAGTATCCACTCTGGTGCTGGAATAATGGAAAGATGTTTAAAAATGAGTTACACATTATTAAGCATATAGCTGGAAAGAAGAGGAAAAAAGGGACTCAAAGGATCTTAAGAGCAGTAGTTCTTTATTGGGGGCTATTTTGCTTCCCCATACCAAGACATTTGAGAATATCCAGAAACATTTTTGGTTGTCACAACTTGGGGTGAGTGCTATTGGCCTTTTGTGATTCTATACCAGCGATGCTCTTAACATTCTCCAATGCAGAGGTCAGCCCCCACATCAAATATTGACTGTCCCAAAATGGTATCATCACCAAGATTGAAAAACTTTGCTCAAGAGAGACATTGGAAAATGAACTATTTGTTGTACTGACAAATGAAATTGCTGTATTCAGAAAATTTCTAGTTTGAAAACATTTAGTTCATTGATCTATTCTTCACTCTTTAATTGCTTCATTCTATATTCATTCATATATTCATACATTCATTTGTTCATTCAACAAGATTTTATTGAGTGTTACTAAGTGCTTCAGTGTGCCAGGTGCTTGGGGAAAAACTAATGTGTATAAGAAATTCATAAATTCATTCAGTTATGAAGTAAATTAGTAAGCACCTGGAAGTGATATGGGAAATAAATCAAATGTGTATTCTTCCCTCAAAAAATTTAAAATGATGACTTGATAATAAATACATACAGGAAAAAAATGAAGCAAAACTGTTAACACTTAAGCTTAACCAAACAATCAAAGCTTTGTATAATCCTAATAAATGGCAATTGTCTTAAGGCAAACATTTGA